AGGGCAGCCCGGGGTCGACACATGTGGTTGCCGCCAGCCCGCCGGACGCTCCTTCGTCGAATCCGCCGGCCGCGCCATTCTCAAGCCCGCCGCCTCTGCTCACTCTAGGCCGTTGTGTGTGATGCTGTGTTTCGTTGTGAAAGCGTAACTACTTTGTTTGGTCTTCCAAAAGAGGACACGACTAGAAATCAGTGGTTAAGTTGTATTTACAACACTGTTCCAGAACAGTTCAACCCAAATATTCAGATGTGTGCAGCACATTTTATGGAGGACTGTTTCCTGATCCTGGGAGAGTAGACTACAATGCCGGCTGTTCTGACTCAAAGACCGCTTGAGGTATTCGGCCAATCACAACGCATTGGATAGCTGGCCAATCAGAGCACACCTCGTTTTTCAGACCGATGAGTTTTGTAAAAATCGACGCGTTTCAGAAAGGCGGGGCATAGAGAAGCAACAATAATGTACAGTATGTGGAAAATAATGTGTTTTTTAACCTTAAACCGCATAAACACATTTCATTACACCAAATACACAAAATAATGTTCTTTTTAGCAACATCATATGACCCCTTTAAATTTAGCAACAATGTCAGCAATCATGCAGCTGAGATTTGCTATATAGTATATAATGCTTTAAGTATACTGTGAGTATGTGGGGAAAGCTGGATGTACTATATATTCAACTGCCAAGTCTCAATGTTATTCTAGTTTCTAGATATCTAGTTTCCAGTTTATAGATACAAGTTACAAGCCAAAATAACAAAAATCTTTAAAGACTGTTTTCTCAAAATGAGTCTTTCTCCTGAGCCAGAAATCTCCAATTCAGCTGCACTTACATACACCCAACTTTACTGTTTTGTCTATATTTTGAAGGTTTTTACATTTACAATTCAGCATATTTTTTCCCTCAAAATCAGTGCAAAATATGCGAAGAAGTCTTCTGATTCCATGCAGACCTGGTCATGATCTTCTCTCATCACTAAAATCATACACAAGCGTGGCGTAGACCAGCCTCTGAACAACAACCAGCATAAATGGAAGTTGAAGTACCTTAACAAAGTTGTTCAGGTGGCCAAGCTTCCTCATGTTGGAAACCCCGTGAGATTTGGCGATGTTCTGAAGGATCTCACGCATGTTATCGGAGGATTCTGTGGAAAGCAAAAACCTTAAATTAAAATCCTAAAAACACATAAAGAGATTAATAATCAGTTACTGCTAATATATTAGGTAGGCTATTCTGCATCCAGGACAGGAAATATGCATTATTCTTTCAAATCTCTTTTGAATTAAAATCACATTGTTTAGCACATAACAACATAAACATATCACATAATGTATCTCCATATCCACTATGAAGCATCACTTTCCCTGTGCAGAACTCAAATAAAACCTCTCGGGATCTTCCATGTAAGTGATTTTTGCACATAAATGATATCATGGTCTAAATTCAGTAATTGCAATTCAACTTTTCCCTGGTCTAGTCTTTATATAGTACATTTCTCAAGAGAGACGTCAAACACACTGGCACGGCAAGATTAATCAAGATCAGGCTCGTCAAAGACTTTTTGCATTAACACCCACCAGCTTAGATGTATCAAAGTCTGAAACCTTAAAACACAGACTTGATAGGCAGCATGCAAAGATATGAAGGCATCGAGATGCTTTAAGCCAATGACTGTTTACTGATACAGCCTAACCGAGCTGAATGCACTGCAGCTATTCTACTGACCTGCAGATGTTTACTAGACAACACAAACTGATGTGGCTGTGCACTACAGATCAAAACAACACCCAGGTCCCAAATCCTAGTGAGCAGCCTAGCTAGACAGCATATTTGAAGCATCACACAGACGTAAATAATGCGGTCTATTTAGGCAACCCATTAAGGTTTGAGACAGCCCCATTCTCCTGTCTGAAGGCCAGATAAAGCAGATGGGAAATCACTAATGACAATTTCTTGGATTTAAGGGGAATTTGATCATTTCTTGGTTATTATTACAGAGAAGCATTACGCATTTGTTTCTTATGATTTCTATGGTGACTCTCACCCCGCGTAAGATCCAGCGGTACATTCTCCTCCCCGCTGTCATTCCGACCTGTCAAGCACAAAAAACGACACAATAAAGACACCGTAAGGCCTTATCCGCGCTTCAACGGATGCTACACAAGCAGAGGGTTGTACACAGCGCCGGCTGCGCGGGTAACGGGGGTGTGGGTGCCGTTAACTTGCCTCTCATCCGTACACTCCGGGTCGGACGGCCGCGGATGCTGACCGCCATGTTGGCAGGGACGTTCATCAACACAACACCGGAACTCTCGTAACCTCTCGCGAGGTTTGAGCGCTGACCCTCCCCCCTCCGGTTTTATTACATTTGTGAACAGTAACAAAGATGATTTTCTAGTTAATAACATCCTCGTTTTGGGAAGGTTTTATATACACAAATCTAAGAACTTGCAAGTGGAACCTAGTTTTTATGTATTTCATAATTACTTGAAATCCTACACTTTGAGTTTTCTAAATTATTGTTACAGTTTATTTTTTTATTTTGCACATGATCCTACTGTTATGCAAAGAGTATTATTTCAAGCGATGCTTAGCAAACTTTGAAGCTCTTCTTCGTGTAATATGTTAAAATGTTACTTTTTACATTGAAATAACATTTTATATAGGCTACACACAAACACACACAATTCTTTTATGTACAGAAATATTGTAAAAATTAAAAACATGAAATTATTACATAAAACACTTAAAGCACATAAATGATGGATATATATATATATATATATATGTGTGTGTGTGTGTGTGTGTGTATATATATATAAATTTTTGGGTAAAAACAAGGCTTATGGCTGAAATTGCAGTCAGCACTAAAATATAATGCTTAGTCTAAAGATTAGTCTTAGATCGATGTCTTATTATTAAAATTAGCCGTTTATTAAATTATGCTGAACAGCATAAGAAATATTGACAAATACAAATTCATTGTATTTGCACCATTTTGTTTTTACCACCATTTTCTGTTTTTATTGTCATTAAAAAGAAAAAAACCCACAAAAGACAGGATCACAAATGACTTTACTCCTACTGAGGTCACTGTATATACAATGTATAATATTTACTGTAGATCATTCTCAAACAATGAAAATACATAGGGATTTTTTGGTGAAAGAATTAATGACAAATAAGGATGTTGAAAGATGATGAAAACACACTAGATGAGTTTATCCAAGCTTAGTCATTGTCGTAGATACACTCTGTAACAAATAAGCAGAAAAAAAATCATTCCAATACAAAATGATGAAAGATTTAAACTAAATATACCTTCATTAACTGTGCGAGTTAAACCTTACCTTCAACAACATCATCATAAATAGAGCCGTCCCTTAGAGAGGAGAGGAAGTGAGACAAAAAATATGAAGTTGTGGTCAACTTAGGGCTGGACGATATGGCCAAAATTTATATCACGATATATTCCTTCAATTCGGTCGATGAGATATAATTCCGATATCGATATGAACACTATTAAAAAAAGCCTCGTAAAACTGCCAAGAACCGTCTGTGCATACAAACTTATGAAAAATGAATTTGCCAAGTCTATGACACCTCATATAAAACCATATAATATTTTAGAAGAAAAATGAAAATGCAAACTGATTGTCTGCCAGCAGGAGGCGCTTTGAGAGCGGCAGAACTAGCGGTTTCTCCAGTAACGACTGTAATCAAATCAGCTCCGCTCATGAACACTTCTTTATCAGATAAAATGAAAATGACATCGAAACTTTTCTGAAAACAGTCCTTTCCCTTCAGAGATACATTCATATAAAACACCCGCACGTGTTTTGATTTTGAAACGTGCAGTGCTCATGTTTATTCAACGAAGTCAAACTCCACAAATAAATCAATGTATGGGGAACACTGGTAATGTATATCGGAAATGTGTTTAAAAATCATATCACCGTTATTAAAAAAAATTATATCGCGATACATATTGATATTGAATTATTGTCCAGCCCTAGGTCAACTGATCGACCATTGATATAAAATCAAAATGGCATTGCTGAATTTTACACAACAATTACTCAACATTCACTAATATTCACTAACATTTAGGCATATCAAATAAGCCAAGTGTGCTTAGAAATACAAAACCTGTATCTATTGGCTAGGGTGAAGAAATGTTTTCATGCAAAACATCGTCTAACCAGAATAGAAATAGAACAGGAAGACTATACTTACTGCTCCAAATTAGCAGTCGACACATAGCCAACTGAAAGAGAGAGAGAATAATTCATAAGAGTTTCCTCTTCTGCTAGGACATGTATTATGTCCTAAATCAACTCACATTTTCCTTCGCTGTTCCGGGCAATGATTTTGTCATCTACTGGATGAACTATCACATCAATGATTTCTCCAGGTTTGACTGGCAAGTCTTTATTACCAAACTTCTTTATAGACAGCGACTGGAGAACAGTAGCTTGATACAGCACTTTGATTTCCGCATTATACTGCAAGAAGAGGCAATGAGGGTTAGTAGTATACGGAGTCATTCACTCACCATCCATCAAACAAATGCATCTTACTTTAAACTTCTTCCTAAACTCTTTCTCCTCCTTCTCAAACTTTTTCTTTTTCTTCGGGTCCATCTCATCTGTCTGTCTTGTTGAGCTGAACTTTCGAAAGCTGCGGTAAAAGAGAGACTTAACATACACTACCATTCAAACGTTTGAGGTCAGCAAGGCTCAGAAATTACATACTTTTATTCAGCAAGGACACGTTCAATTGATTAAAAGTTACAATACATCAAATAACCAGAACTCAGTGAATGTGCTTACTTGTTGTATAAAAAAATATCAAAATGTAAATATCCTGCATGGTCCCACTGTAGGATTCATTTTCTTTATGGAAAATATGATTTTTTTTTTTATGTCCTTATTTTGATGGCAAACATGAGTGTTTATTGTTGTTGTTTTTTCATCTTAAGATCATTTTAAACTTCTTTTTGAGAAATGTATTGCTACATAACTTTTTTATATACAATAAATGACTTGTTTTGATTATTTTGTTATATAATGCAATGAATTTTTGTTATTATGGTTTAAATATTTGTATTATTAGAAATTTTAGCAGACAGTCACTTGTAATTACACTTTTTTAAATACAAACATATAAAACTTACATTTTAACAAATAAACATTAAAAAAAGAAAATGAAAATAATAAATGAAACAAAAAAAATTAAATACATTTCCCCCCACCCAAAGACTTAACCCATAAGTGCTATCCAGTGGTAAAAGTAGGTACTGAAGGCATAATAAACCTATTAATCACAAGTTTGTAGAAAGGAAATAAAAGTGGACCAAATTTTTTCAAATAACAAAATCTTGTCTATTACGGTATACCTGATTCTTTCCAGATGTAGTGTACCTGTCAACTGTCAGCCATAATTTAAGAGTTGGAACTTTTTTTTGGCAGAGATCAACCCATATGAAACAAACTGTTGTTGTACCCGTGTAAGTCTCAAAAATTCTTCGGAAACTCCAAATATAATTAATATAGGATCTGGTTCAATAGGAATGTCCAATGTATCTGAAAAAACTTGGAATATTTTGTCCCAGAAACTCTGTCATTTGGAATTTTTGATATTATTAAGTGATTTAAGCAACCATTCAAAAGCTTGGGATCAGTAAAAATTTATTGTTTTTTGCCACATTTGTAATGAATGCTGTTCTTTTGAACTTTCTATTCATTATAGAATACTGAAAAAATATCAGTTTCCACAAAGATATAATAATATAAAAATATAATAATTAATATTTCAAAATATTACCGTTTTACTGTATTTTTCAAATAAATGCAGCTTTGGTGAGCATAAGGACTTTTAAAAAATCTTACCGACTCAAACTTTTGAACAGTTGTGCAACATAATGACTTGCCAAAATATTAAAGATGCATGGGAAAGGGCACTTTACAAATTTGCTTACTAAAATAATATGAAAAAAAAAAGAAAAATAACCTAACCTAACCCTAACCTTTTAGGAGATGGAGGAGGAGGGAAGTCTGCTGGAATAATGTCATCATATGTCTCATCAGTGGCACCTGTTGGACCTGTTGGACAACAAAATCAAGACTTTGTAAAAGAGCATAATAGGACCCCTTTAAATAAATCCAGTGCTGTTAGATTATTCATATGGCTGTGCTTATACTAAATTCATATGTTATATTAATGTATAGTTAGAATACAGTATTACTCACACACACCATTAAATGCAGTGGGGTCTGGAGGAGGTGGAGGTGGAAAGCTGTAAAACAGCAGTAATATTACAGCAGATGGCAGTAAATCCACTATATATGTGCTTCAGCTTAAAAGGCACTTTGAATAATACTCGTTTACTTAAAAACTTTATGACTTTAGACCGTTACCTATCAGTGTGGAATTTGCACAGAATGTAAACATTATAAATTATAAATAATATAATTTAAAATATAAATATTTAAATAATATATATGACGAGCTCAAAACCCCTACATTTAAAAATAAATATTAAAATAAAGATGATTTGGTGAATTTACTATATTTGAATGAATATTTTTTTATTCAGCATTTCCATAGCAGAAATAAATTATATTTTAAAATGAATTCAAAGAAATACAGCTATTTTAAATTGTAATAATACTTCGCAATATTATATAAAATATAAATGAATTAACAAAGACTGCATTTATTTGCTCAAAAATACAATAAAAATACAGTATATTCTATCAAATAATTTCAGCCTTAGCGAGCATAAGAGACTTCTTTCAAAAACATTAAAAATCTTGCTGCACCTTAAGTGCTGAGCATGGAAGTTAATAATAAACAAAAATTGCTGTCATAATTGTTTGGATGAATATATCAGTATTCATAGGCGGAGGGTGAACCAACTCCAGGGTAAGGCTAAAAGCGGTCAAATCTATTAAAGGGGTCATATGATGCTGCTAAAAAGAACATTATTTTGTGTATTTGGTGTAATGAAATGTGTTTATGCGGTTTAAGGTTCAAAAAACACATTATTTTCCACATACTGTACATTATTGTTTCTCCTCTATGCCCCGCCTTTCTGAAACGCGTCGATTTTTACAAAGCTCATCGGTCTGAAAAAGCAAGGTGTGCTCTGATTGGCCAGCTATCCAATGCGTTGTGATTGGCCGAATACCTCAAGCGTGAGACGGAAATATTATGGACAAAAGAGAAATTAACACTAACTTTGATCTATCGCACTCTCAAAAAAAACAAAAGAATCGTTATAATCACTGAAACTGTCTACACTGCG